GGGATGGTGACGAGGGCGATGACTTTACCATGCGCGCGCGGGGTCGCGCGAGTGTTGCGTTGATAGCTGTTTTTCCACATCGTACTTGTTGTTATGTCAGCGCGTGCGCACCGCACTGTATTGTTCGGCATGGACGGGACGGTGTCGATAACAGGTCTGCCAGGGAATGTTGGAACTCATGCTTAGGATTCGGGGTCTTGCAGAGTACGCGTGCAAGCTTACTACGCGGAGCTTTTGCCGTCTTGCGTATCTCTCCGTCGCCTTCAGGCATTTTGATACTCGGCTGGCCCAGGTCAGCCTTGAGCAACTCGATGGACGTGGTCTCTTTTTTGGGGGGGCTCACCTTGAGCTCTAGCTCCTGGATTGTCGCCGGACCCTGCCGGCTGAGAGCACGCCCTCTTGACGAGCTCTGCTTGAGCATCATGGACCTGAATGAGCTTCTCGTCCAAACTCTTCGGCTGGGGGGCGACCAGCTCCTCACGTGCAGTGGAGGGCCGAACAATATCCTCCAAGACTGAAGCTCGACCTTGTACCCCGCGGTCACTGCCTGTACCCCAGGCTCGGATGACTTCCGCTTGACTTGGACTGGCTGCGCCGTGCTGAGCCCCACGTCGCGTATCTTCCCGTCGATGCCGAGCACCTGATGGCGAAGTTGGTAAGAGTTCCCCTGGTCCGTCTGGATCTCGTTTTGCTGCTCAGGCACCACTGCCTTCCCGCCCGTTTCAGCCTTTCCTGTCGTACGCGACAAATTCTCGCAGCGGCCAGATAGCTGCTGGTGTAGCGGGTGCCACCATCGAAGCGTCGCGAGTTTGGCGGCCGTCTCGGCTTCCAGCTCGGATCGTAATTCAACGCATGTTGCACACTTGTCACCTTTAATGGACTCGGGCAGCCCGTCAATCTCCGCCAACCGATTCAAGAGTTCGTCATGCACGGAGGGTTTGTCATCATTGTCGACTACATGGTGCTTCTTGTTGCGCAAATTCTGCAATTGGTCTGACAAGTGCTGCTCCTGCTTCTTGAACGTTGCCTGCTCGCAACAATCGCCCACCGCGCCCGCGGCATTCCGAGCAGTGCCACGTGCTGACGGCTGTGTTGGCTGTCTATTCTCCACATGTTTAGCGGGGTTACGTTTTTCTTCTCTCCCGCGTCCCACCCGCGAAGCTCACGCACACCTCACCACCCTCCTCCTCTTCTCCTCCTCTTCCTCCCCTCGCCCACGCGCAACACATGCACGGCACGTGCATGAGACACGCGTCGACACACAGCCGCGCGCATGCACACTCTCGCACACAAACACCATACAACGCCAGTGCGCGCCTGGCGTGTTGACTGTAGCAGCCACCCACATTGAGACACGCGTCTTCCTACAGCCGCACACACATCATACACATGCACACCGCGCACAAGACACAAGACACGCATGCAGACACAATTGCGCACACGCACAAACTAACAAAGCCAGTGCACGCCTGCCGTGCTCACTGCATCACACACCCAAGACGTATGCGCCACGTCCAGACCCAGTCGCCCATGCACAGCAGGTGTGGCACTTTCTCGACACCATAGGGGGTGCGCAGAGGGTGGTCTCTGAGCGCGGCCGCTATGCACGCTGGTCTTGCAGGACAAAGGAGGCATGGCACTTTCTCGACACCACAGGGGGTGCGCAGGGGGTGGTCTCTGAGCGCGGCCGCTATGCACGTCGGTCGTGCAGGGGATGGCAGGCGTGGCACTTTCTCGACACCATGGGGGTTCTGAGCGCGGCCGGTATGCACGCCGGTCGCGCAGGGTGTGGCAGGCGTGGCAATTAATGGGTTGGGCTGCGATTTCCACTTGTACTTCCAGCAGGCTTGGGCAGGTAGCTGGAGCCGCGTCAAATCCTGGGGAAGCCCCGCTGGATAACGCCCCAGGCTCAATGTCGACTCGGAGAGATGGGCAAAATCCTGGTGGTGCCCCTGTAGGGAACATCCCAGGTTTGCAGTCGTCACGCGCTTGATATATTTTGGCAGCGGGGTTGACCCCAACGTGGGTCACTCGGGCGTGCCGGAGCTGCGAAGGACTGGCAGTCGGTCAGTCTACGGACGCTGGCGCGAGCCCCCCTTCGTTTGCGAGCGGTGCCTCCCCCGCCCAGCAGGTGTAGCGCAGACGATTTCAATCCCTGGCGAGGTCAGCTACACAGTTGAAATTTGACCCCGACGCTCCAAAGAAGGGAAGTTTCGTTACAGCCAATGTTAGGTTTCAAGGGCGCCGTGCGATTGCGTGGCTGGGGGCCCCAGCCACGCGGTGGTCGGAGTTCGCGAGCACCGTGCCGTAGCCGTGGGGCCACGGGGCGGGTCGCTTGCGATGTCCCTGTGGCCGGGCACGAGTTTGCGACCGCGCTCGGGCCGCGCGGGCGCCGGTCGAGGCGCGTCGCGGCTCGCCTCCGATTGCGGCAGGCGCGCCTTGCCGCCCCGACTCCGGCTGGGCGGCGCGTTGCGCGGGCATGTCATGCCGCCCGCCTCTCGCGCTCTGCGCGGGTCGTTGGGCGGGGGCGCGCGAAGCGCGCCGCCGCCGGCCAGCCGCGGCGTTGCGCGACAGGCGGCGTCGCGGAGGCCGGTGCCTTTTCGCGCGTTTTCTTTTCGGACGGTCTCCTTGTGTGATTTTGTTCTGCCGCAGCGGCGCGTTGAGCAGTCGCGCGTCGCGCGCCGAGCTGGCCTTCCTCGCCCGCGGCCTGCGCGCCGTGGCTTTCTCTGAGGCGGCGCTTCGTCGAGCGTTCGCTGCCATCGACAGGCGCGGCAATTGCAGCCCGCGCCTAAATGCGTGCATTCGCGAGGGCGCGGTGATCTCCATCGGCAGGCTGGCTGTACTGCGCGATCAACTTGCGTCATGTGGTTTTCTCTTCCTCACTGCTTGCGTTTTCCTGATTGCCTACCGCTGGAGGCGTTCGGCTTTGCTTCCGACGGGGAATCGCGCGATCCGTGCTCCCCGGCGCCCCTGGCCCTGGGCCCCAGCCGCGTCGGCCTGTGCCTGGCTTGCCGGAAGTGCGTGCCCACGGGGTGGATCTCCTCTGCGCGGGGGGTCCTGGTGCTCCAGTGGTCGCGCGACTTGCCCCCCGCGCGCGCGCTGGGCGCGTTCTTCAACGCGGCCGGGGTCGGAGCTGCTCCCTTCTCGCGCGTCGGCGCGGCGCATGCGCTGCGCGTCTTGCGCGCAACTCTCGCCGAATGAAGGGTGGCGGGCGCCGCGCTGTACAGGGCGAGCGATTTGCGCCGCGGGCGCGCGCGCGATCTGCAGTGGCACGGCGGTTCGCTCCGCAAGATTCTGTCAGCGGGGGATGCCCCCCCCCCCCCCGCCTTTCGGAGCTATCTCGATGTGGGCAACCTCAAGAATGGCGCCATCACCCAGGCCCGCGTGGCTGATTCCTCCGAAGAGGAGGAAGGCGGCGTCACCGTGGCGGGCCAGGGAATCTGTGCGCATCGCGCCCGACGGATGAGCGTTCTCGTCCTCTTGGTGGCGCCGGCAGTGCCCATGTCTCGCTCGGAGCGCTCCGTTGCGCAGTGGGTGTTGCGCTTGCCCTCCGAGCCGCTCGCGTGCCAGCGCGCGGCTGGCATCGGGCATCTGCGCCCTGGTACCGCGAGCGTCGTCGGATGGCGCGCCGTCTCGTGGCCGAATAGGCGCTGGGCGCAGCGCGGCGCCCTCGGCGCGCGCGGCGCCGCGCCCAACTTCGCTGAGCGCGTGCGCCCTCTGCGGCGGGAGGCGACCGAACGCAGCCTCGTGCTTTTGGCAGGGCCACGGTGCCGGTCGTTTGCGATCTCCCTGTGGCCGGGCACGAAGTCGCGACCGCGTTCGGGCCGCGCGGGCGCCGGCCCAGGCGCATCGCGGCTCGCCTCCGATTGCGGTTGGTGCACATCGCCGCCGCGACTCAGGTTGGGTGGCGCGTTGCGCGGGCACGTCGTCCCGGCTTGTCGCGTTCCGCGTAGGTAGCTGGGCGGGGGCGCGCGAAGCACGCCGCCGCCCGCCGGCCGCGGCGTTGCTTGTGGCGGTGGGCCACACCGCGTGCAGTCTCGGCTCCATGGTGTCGGTTTTCGTGGTATATGTGCTCCTGCAGTTCGCGCGGGTCAAGGCAGCGGTGCTTCTGGAGGCGTGGCAGTCATGCGTGACACCCACGTCGCGATGACTAGTCCCCCGTGTTGCAGTTCGCCGGTCCTGGTGCAGGGCGGGTTTGTTGCGGCGCATCTACACGTGAACAGGTCAAGCGCGGCGTCAGTTTCTCGTCTGCATCTCTTCGGCCCAGCGAGGGCCACAGTCCAGACAGCGACGCGGCGCTCTGCGCGCTTCTGCATTATGTCCGCGCTCTAAATTGCCTGTGTCTTGACTGGGTGGTGTTGGGAGGTTTCAGTATCCAGGTGCCCGCGGCAAGTCCCGCCACCGTGCTGGCCCAGTTTTCTCGGCGGCGACTGTTCGAGGGGGCGCGGGAGGCCGTCGCGCGTGGCACTCCAACCGTCCACGTCCCGAGCTTTTGCCCCCCTCCCACCCCCCGGAGCGGAGCGACACGCTATCAGCTTGCAGGGCATGTCGTGTCGCTGGGGCTGTCGCTGAGGCACGCTGAGCCAAAGTTTTTGGCCGTGGGCGCAAGAGCGGTAATCCAGCTCTGTGGAGGCAGGGTGCTCGTATCTCGAGCCAGTTGCCCTTCGGCACGGGTTACCAGCCAGGAGGGTGGGGGGGAGCGGGAGGGCGAGGGGCAGAGGAGGACAGGTATCCAGAAGATGCCGGCGACCGATTCCTAGATTGTCCTAGATGTCGGCGACCGGTTTCTAGAGGCGAGCTGTTAGTGGCGCGTGTGCGGTGAACACATCTCACGCCTTTTTCCCAGAAAGCACAACTATACATCCGCTTCGGTCGTCCCCTCCGCTGCCTTCCCTCCCAGAGAAGGAGAAGCACAGTCGGAGGAGGAGGGGGGAAGGGAGGAGGAAGGAGGTGGACCTGTGTAATTGCAAGATTCTCAGAGGCAGGGGAGGGGGGGACAGGAGCCAGCTGGCCGATGGGCGGCGGTCGCCAAGCTCGGGCAGAGCGCGATGTGCGCCGCGGACCCCCGCCTTTCTCGCCTCTCCCCAGCCCCCCCCCCCTTCCCACACCCCCCAACGCACGTCCCTCTCTTCCCTTCCCTGCCTCCCTTCCCTCTCCTGCTTCCTCCCCCTCTCATCCTCTGACATGACACACTATGAATACTAAACCCTCCCTTCTCCCCCGACTTTGTCCGAACAATCGTCGGCCCTCTCCGCGCGTCTTTCTATGCGCGTCGTGTTGCAATCCGTTTGCTTTCGGTGCTTCATAATGCTGTTCCCGCTGCGGCGTGGGCCTCATTTTCGGATCGGCGTTTTTCTCCCGTCGTTCAGAGTGGCGCTCTCGGCCCTGCGCAGGCCACTTTTCTGGAACCGAGCCCTGTTTCATTGTTTTCGCCCCGCTCATTTTCCCTCCCTCGCCTTCTCCTGGTCCTCCTGCTCCTCCCGCTCCTTCCACTCCAGCTTCTGCTTCTGCTGTTCGTCCTCGTCCTCCTTCATCATCCTCCTTCTTCCCTACAGCTCATCCTCCTGCTCATCCACCACTTTCTCCTCCTCGTCCACCATTGCTCATGATACGATTGGGTCCTCTTTGGAGTTTCAGGTCAGCTACTACTTGCGTCCGCGGATAGAGAAAACCCTAGCGCAATGGACAGGGATGGGCGGGAAGGGTAGGGTATCAGACATGACGCGAGCGAAACTAGCTTGCCTCCCCTCTCCTCTCCTTTGTTCTCGTTTTCTCCTCACTTCCCCCTTTCCCCCCCCTCCCCTCCCCTCCCCTCCGACCGCCTCCTCTCCTCCGTTCCACTCCTGTCCGCAGGGAGGAGGGAGGAGCAGGAGGAGAAATAGGACGGATCTGATGCATATGAGGAGGCATACGATAATGGCGTTGCTGATGATGCTGCTGAGCATTGTTATGCTCATGATGATGATGCTGATGATGATGATGCTGGTGACGAAGATTATGACGATCATGGCGGTGGTGATCATGCTGTTGCCAATGATTATGGTGGTGATGGTGATGCTGACGACGGTGATGATGGTGAAGATAATGACGATGATATTGATGATGAGGATGGAGAGGATGATTATGGTGGTGGTGATGATGATGCTGATTGTGGTGATGATGATGTTGATGATGATGACGGTGCTGATAAGGATGATGCTGTTGATGATTGTGATGATGCTGGTGATGATGATGATGAGGATGAGGATGAGGACGATGATGCTGCTGATGATCTTGATGACGAGGAAGGTGATGCTGGCGATGTTGCTGAGGATCCGGGCGACGATGGTGGTGGCAATTGCGGATGGTACCAGAAATCATAAGTTGATGGTTGTTGATGTTGATGGCGATGTTGATGATACTGGTAGCCTGATGAGTGCACTTGTTCTATTGATGTTGATGGTCATGCTGTTGTTGATGAGGTAAGGCTGGGGATGCTGAAGAGGATAAGGAGGGTGGGGAGGGGACACACGGGGTTGTGATTGATTATGGCGATGCTGCCAGGCAGTGCATACAAAACAGTTTCCCCCAGCCGAACGGGATAAGTTTGTGCACGAAGAGAGCGGCCGTCGAGGGCTTGGGACATACAATATACATTGTAATGAAGAGCGGCCAGACGTAAAACGAGAAGAGGAGAGGAAGGAGGAGGAGGAGGCGGAGGAAGAGGATGGGGAACGGATGAGGGGAAGGGAAAGGGGCGGGGATGGATGAGCATGCAGAGGTATGGGCCAGGGGGAGGCGGGGACGGGGGCGATGTAGGAGGAGGAAGCGGAGGAATCAGAAGTAGGGAGATGAGGAGGGGGGAAATATGGCGGATATGTTGAAGGAGGGAGGGGGAGACGGATGATAATACTGATGATGCTGATGATCACGTGGATGCTGATGTTGATGCTGCTGATGCTGCTGCTGATGATGATGGTGATGATGATGATGCTGCTGATGATGATAATGATGATGGGCAGTCCTTGAACAGTACTCGCAGAGCGCAGGAGGGCCGTGCGGTGTGTCCTGCAACCGCCATGGCTCAAGCCTTTTTTCGTGACGAGGTCGCGTGCTCGCCAGGCTCGCGCGGGACCTGCATGCGCCAAGCGGGCCGGGGCGCCGCGCTCCTGGCCTTCCACGTGGGCACCGCGTGGCTCGGCCAGTGGTGGGCCGCCCGCGGCCCCGCTGGCCCACCGGCGGTCCTGCGGGCCGCCCCGGCGCCGCTCGCCGCAGTGCCTGCGCCAGTTCCGCCGCCGCGGAGCTGCCCGGCGGCCGTGCCGCCGACTTCTGCGCTGGCCAGCGAGCTGCGCGTGGAGGTGGGGCGGTGTCTGCCGTGGGCGGCGCCAGTACCGCTGCTGGAGTGCCCCGACGCTTGCCCGGCGTGCCCCGAGCCGACCGAGGGCGAGTTCTCCTGGGGCTTCGAGGTCTCTTTCGGCCTCGTGTCGCTTCTGCTCTGGGAGCTCGCGACTTTGTGCTGGGCCGCTGTGCGCGGCCGAGCGGGTCGCTGCTGCGGCCGGAGGCGCAGGAGGGTCCCCTCGGAGGAGCTGGAGGCGGAGCCGACGGTCGTCGGGCTCGGCAGTGATCGACGCGTGCCAGGCGGCCGAGGACGACTGACGAAGGAGTGGACGCCTGCAGGTCTCAGGTTATGACATTTGGAGATGACTTGTATGTGGAGTGCGACCTTGCAGGGGCCCCGCTGCTGCACGCCCGAGTCGTTGCCGGAGTTTCATGGATCGAGCGTTTTCACGCGGCGGTGATCTCGCCAAACCCCGACCTGTTCATCGAGTGGTTCACGGACGGGAGCGACGACCTCAGGCATTGGTACCGCCGCGTGCTCATCCGCGAGGATGGCGACATCTCGAACCCCGCTGGAGGGGCAGGGCTGGCGGTCTACGAGTTCGCCGCTCCGCTCACGCCCGCCGAGCTGCAGGGTTTCTCGCAGCGGGCTCTCGTGCTGCTCGCTGGTCATGATGCCGCTCTTACTGCCCGGCTCCAGGTGGGGCAGGTGCGCTCGTGCCGGCCGGCGTCGGCGCTGCGGCCGTGGGGGCGCCCGCCGCTCCCGCAGCTGCGCCCGCTGCTGCCCGAGGCGCCGCGCCCGGATGAGGTGGGTTGCGCGGTCGCAGGAGGGCCCGCCAGAGGCCTGGCTGCGCTGCTGGGCGGAGGCGGCGGGGGTGGCGCTGCAGGAGCCGCCGCAGGAGTGGGCCCCGTGGACGGCGGAGCGGGCGCCCCAGCGGCCCCGGGGCCCCCGGTTGCCATGGCCCCGCCCGCCGCTACTCCGCCAGCGGGAGGGCCTGCCGGCGGCGGACGTTTGGTCCTGGCCCCCCCAGCCGCCCCGCCGCTGCGGGCGGCGGCGCGGCGCTTGGCGCCCCGGCTGGGCCTGGGGCCGCGGTCGTCGCGGATGGAGCTGCCAGGCTGGCAGCCGCCTTGGCCGGCGCAGGAGGCCCCCCGCCCATCGCGCCGGCTGCGCCTGCCGACGGCGGCGGCGAGGGCGGTGCAGGGGACTGTCGGGCGCTCGCTGTGCCGCACGGCAATGGGAAGCGGCACGGCGCCTTCTCTGCAGGAGTGGCCTTGCTCAAGGCCGCGGACTGGGGCGACTGGCCGGTCCCTGGGCCCAGGACGGCGCACGGGGTGGCCGGTGGAGAACGGCGGGGGCGCTCTCGGGCATCGCGCGCAGTGGAGGTCGGTCATCCGTCTGGGCTTGGATGGCATTGCGGTCGCGAGTTCTCAAAGATATGCGCGACGGCGCTCTGCTATGACCAGCTGGACATCTGGAATCCTGGGGGCCTAAAGCTGGTGGCGCGGCAGCTTCAGCTCTGCCGGGAGCGCTGCCGCGAACGGGGCTCGGGGACGCGCGAGGGCAACAGCCAGCGCCACGACGAGGAGCATTACTTCACGGACGTGGCGGCCACTACAAGGGGAACGCGGCGGCGAATGAAAGGCGCAAAGCACATGGGGAGAGGGGGGGGATAGCATGTCAAGCCCAAGGGGCCGAAGGGCGGCGACGGTGGGTGACGCTCTCCAGTGCATCTACGATTTGGGCGGCCTGCTGTTTCCCGGCCCAGGGCGCGCGGGCTTTTCGTTTTTCGGCCTCGAGGTGAAGATGGGCCAACGCGACGTCTTCCTCTTGCCTCTCTTTCCCGTTCCTAATGCCGGGGGTGATGGCTGCCGCGCCGTCGCTCGACGCGCTCGCCGCCGTCGCCGCGCCATCGACTGGGCCAGCGACGGCATTTTTTTTTCTTTCTTTATTTTGTTTTCTCTCTCTCTCTCTCTCTCTCTCTCTCTCTCTCTCTCTCTCTCTCTCTCTCTTTCAACGCCCTCTCTGGGCGGCAGTCAGTCGGGGGTGGGGCCTGAAGCTCGGCGCTGCAGCTGCGCCTCGACCACCTCGTGCGCAGCTACCGCGCCACTTGATTCTGCCCCGCTGATGTCCACCGCCGCGGTGGCCTTCGCGAGCTCTGCGGGGGCGCCGCAATGCGCGGCGAGTGCTCGACCACCGTCGCGCCCTACAACCAGGGCGCCTTGTCCTGGCCAGCCGTGGGAGCAAAGCCCGTCGCACTGGGCATTGCACTGCCGGCCCAGCACCCCGCCTGGCTGAGGCGCTTGACGGCCAACGTGCGAAGACCTCCAGCTGCAGCGGCTGGATGGTCTTCGGTCTGAGCTCGGACTTCTACGTCCCCATCTTGGCCCTGCACTTCGGGGTCATCGACTGTGCGGCGATCCTGCGAATGGGTTGGCCAGTCGCGGGATGGCCCGCCTGGCGCCCGCAGCTGGCCAAGGAGGCGGCGCTGCCACGGCGGGGGTCTTCTTCGCCCCGAAGAAGCATGAGCAGCAGCGGGTCGTCTTCGACGTCGGGCTGGCCATCTGCGATTTCATGCCGCCGCCGTCGACGCACTTGCCCGCAGCGTTGGCCTTCGCGTTGAGCTGGAGAAGTGCGAGTGCGACGTCCTGGTCAAGGGCCGCGAGGCCTCCTGGCCATTTGGGCCGGGACGCCCGCTGCGCGCGGCGGCCTGCGTCGACAGCTTCACAGTGATGGGGTCGC